ATACAGGTAAAGTAAGTGTGTATTGTGTGTGTATACGAGGTAAAGTAAGTGTTATTGTGTGTGTATACAGGTAAAGTAAGTGTCTATTGTGTGTGTATACAGGTAAAGTAAGTGTCTATTGTGTGTGTATACAGGTAAAGTAAGTGTCTATTGTGTGTGTACAGGTAAAGTAAGTGTTCTATTGTGTGTGTGTGTACAGGTGAACTAAGTGTGTATTGTGTGTGTACAGGTAAAGTAAGTGTCTATTGTGTGTATACAGGTAAAGTAAGTGTCTATTGTGTGTGTACAGGTGAACTAAGTGTATATTGTGTGTGTACAGGTAAAATAAGTGTCTATTGTATGTGTACAGGTAAAGTAAGTGTATATTGTGTGTATACAGGTAAAGTAAGTGTCCAGTGTGTGTGTGTGTACAGATAAAGTAAGTGTCCAGTGTGTGGGTGTACAGGTAAAGTAAGTGTCCAGTGTGTATTGTGTGTGTACAGATAAAGTAAGTGTCTATTGTGTGTGTACAGGTGAACTGAGTGTCTATTGTATGTGTACAGGTAAAGTAAGTGTCCAGTGTGTGTGTGTACAGGTAAAGTAAGTGTCATGATAGTTTGTACGTCACCTCGTTATGCAGCTCTGTAAGAAGTAACTGATAGATGACATTTTACCCCGGGTGTTAGCTTCAAATAGATACTATCAAACCTATATAAAGACCAGCGTGTGTCACGTCACGCTTACCCTTTTTTTCTGTTTGTAGCCCCTTTTTGGAAGTTATATTAATACAAAGAAGTCATTCCTAACCGACGTCAAATTGGCTAGGCTCAATTATAGACTATGTTTGGATCATACTGTAGTTACATTGTAGGCTATATTTGGATCATACTGCAGTTACATTATAGGCTATATTTGGATCATACTGCAGTTACATTATAGACTATGTTTGGATCATACTGTAGTTACATTATAGGCTGCAGTATGATCCAAATATAGCCTATAATGTAACTGCAGTATGATCCAAATATAGCCTATAATGTAACTGCAGTATGATACCAAATATAGCTTTTCCACACACAATCCTGTAACATTGAAACAACAATTGTTTACTTTTCCACACACAATCCTGTAACATTGAAACAACAATTGTTTACTTTTTCCTAAAATAACAAAAGATCTCACCAAAACACAAGTTGCAATGTAACTGCAGTATGATTCAAATATAGCCTATAATGTAACCGCAGTATGATCCAAATATAGCCTACTATGTAACCGCAGTATGATCCAAATATAGCCTACAATGTACCTGCAGTATGATCCAAATATAGCCTATAATGTAACTGCAGTATGATCCAAATATAGCCTACAATGTACCTGCAGTATGATCCAAATATAGCCTACAATGTAACTGCAGTATGATCCAAATATAGCCTACAATGTAACTGCAGTATGATCCAAATATAGCCTATAATGTAACTGCAGTATGATCCAAATATAGCCTACAATGTAACTGCAGTATGATCCAAATATAGCCTATAATGTAAACACACAATCCTGTAACATTGAAACAACAATTGTTTAGGAAATGTAAACAATTGTTGTTTCAATGTTACAGGATTGTGTGTGGAAATGTAAACAATTGTTGTTTCAATGTTTCAGGATTGTGTGTGGCTATGTACGACATGCTTTCAGTCTACAGCCAAACCGTCAGATAAACAAGAAAACATGTATTTGGAGAACATCAATGGCAGATCTAGTCAACAGGAGACAAAGAAAATTAAACACCCATCCGTTTCAGACCCATTCAAGGTTCATCAACCTTTACTGAGATCCAATGTAGAACCAACTACAAATGCTGTAACAGAGCTTACCAGGGTTCAACAACCTGTCTTTACAACTGACCCAAAGACTTGTAGAATTCAGCATCCTATATTGGGAACTGCCATAGAATTACCTAAAATTCAGAAACCTGTATTAGTAACTTCCGCAGAACCTTCTAGAATTCAGCAACCTGTATTGGGTATGGCAGCTAAGTCACGCCAGACCGTTCAATCAGCATCTGCTAGCAGCTCTCTGTTACATTTTCCACAACCAATCACTAACCAGAGTTTCGTTAAAAGCGAACAGACAACACCAATCAATTTTCCAAGAGACAAGGATGTAACAGCTGTAGCTGATGGGTCTGAGAACGTTCATTATGATTTGGTAATTTTTTTAAATATTTTTTTTTCTTTTAGTATTTACTATTTGGAAAGAGAAAACAAACCTGTTTTGTTAAAGAAATTGTCGTTCAAAACGGAGTTGTTATAAAATGACATAACCACTGTGTCGTTATTCGGTGTTATCACACAGCTTTGTAAAATATCCATTAAAGAATCATATATTTATGTTTACAATTAGAAAGAAACAAATTTTCTATTGCTTAACCTTAACTTCCGATCAACTGAGTGTTTTGAAACACATACTAATCAAATTGTTTAATAAACTTGTTACCATGCTCGTTAGGATGGTCAAGTGGACGGAGCTGAGGACACGTTATCTGATGCAGATCATTTCAACATCGTTCCTAGTCTCATCAGTTACAAAACTGATGGAGAAGATGAAGAGTACGAGAAGGAAGGTGAGGAGGAGGAAGAAGAAGATAGCGACGAAGAGTTAGATACTCCTTCGGTTTTACAACCACTGGTGTTTTTTGACCGCAGCCCAGGAGAAGTGTACACCATTCCAGAAGAAGATGACGAACCTTTGTCTCCAACGCAGTCCCGCATGGCCGGGTCAGACTTGAATTCCGATACTGCATCTTCTCTGATTCGCTGGAGAGGTAAAACATATTACATTTGACCAAGGTGACGTCATAGAACATAACCTGAAACTGGAGAGGTAAAACATATTACATTTGACCAAGGTGACGTCATAGAACATAACCCGAGATTGGAGAGGTAAAACATTACATTTGACCAAGGTGACGTCATAGAACATAACCTGAAACTGGAGAGGTAAAACATATTACATTTGACCAAGGTGACGTCATAGAACACAACCTGAAACTGGAGAGGTAAAACATATAACATTTGACCAAGGTGACGTCATAGAACACAACCTGAAACTGGAGAGGTAAAACATATTACATTTGACCAAGGTGACGTCATAGAACACAACCTGAAACTGGAGAGGTAAAACATATTACATTTGACCAAGGTGACTTTATAGAACATAACCTGAAACTGGAGAGGTAAAACATATTACATTTGACCAAGGCGACTTTATAGAACATAACCTGAAACTGGAGAGGTAAAACATATTACATTTGACCAAGGTGACGACATAGAACATAAAGTGAAACTGGCCAAAGCGATAACGTAGAACTTAACCTGATACTGACCCAGGTGACGACATAGTAAATAACCTGAAACTGGCCAATGCGATAACGTAGAACTTAACCTGATACTGACCCAGGTGACGACATAGTAAATAACCTGAAACTAGACAAGGCGATGACATAGAACAGTGGTTCCCAACCTGGGGTCCGCGTAGGTAATACCATCTCATTAAACAAGTAAGTTTTTTAATACTGATGTTTTTTTAATTGCACACTCAGTTATATATGTCTTTTATTTGATAGTGAAAAGTGAGAGAACGAGTTAACTATTAGTTAATAAAAACAGTTTGTTAGGTAGGCGGAATCTTTCAAAAACATGGGGCCGTGGGGAGGAGGAATGATAATAAAAGGGGTCCTTGGTGGAGAAAAGGTTGGGAACCACTGACATAGAGCATAACCTGACACTGGCCAAAGCGATGACTCAGAATTTAACGTGATACTGACCAAGGTGACGACATAGTAAATAACCCGACACTAGTTAAGATGACAACATAGAAAATTGTTTGTTTATTATTAAGCAGAAAGCTACAGGTATCGAAACTCGGTATCTAGCATTATAAACCTTCAGACTTGCCATATATAAACTGGTAATTCGATACTTAATATCAGACTTTTTAGAGACAATTCTAGGTTTTGAGATTTTTTCTTTAGCACTTATGTATTTTATATTTTAAAGAAGAATTCTCGCGCAGAGCTACACATGGTTATCTGCACATAACCGTTCCTAAATTTGACTTTGAACTGTTGGAGTATGGGGAATATAGGTATTCATCAGCACCCTCCGCCAACTCTTGCCTAACTGAATTAGAGTTATTTGATCGACCGTCAACGCTTCTCGTGCACCCGTTACCCCAAAGTCCGGAGCGTATTTTTGTAGTAACGTAACGTGAATCATGAACCTTCGGTCCGGGCACGCTAATCACTAGGGAACGCCGTGTAAAACACAAAATAACTTTAAACAACAGGATTAAACATGATTTGAAGACAATCTTAGGAAATTAAAATTAGTTGGCAGTGGATAGAAATAGACCGCTCACGAAGTCACGTGTAAAAATGCTGAACCATTACGTCACTAATAACGTAATGCGAGAATATAACATTAGGTAAGAAATATTGTGTACGCACTTGGGATAAAACTAAAGAAAATAATACATATAAACAAAAACAATAAAATTGTAAATATGC